CCATGGGTTTGGGTTTGGCAAAACCCGACCCAACCCGACCCATTGCCATCCCTACCTATAGCTAGTCTTTCATTAATTACGGAAAAGTCTTCACGAGTGAAAAAATTATGAAAAGGCGGGGAAAGAAAATTTGGGCCCGAAGGAGACAAAGTAAACCATCGAAAGTGAAAAGTGTGAGTGGGCCGGCCCGCTGAATGATAAAACTCTGAATCACATGCACGTCTTGTTCGTCGCGTCCAAAACAAAACATCGATTCGATGGTCCATTAAATTTAAATTACAGCAGGAAAATTCTAGGGTTAATTGCATGGTTGGTCACTCAGATTACAAAAAACGTTCATGTTTGGTCACTCGAAATATTTAATTCCATTCATGGTCACTAAAATTAGTTAAAGAGTTCAAGTTTGGTCACTCTCCGTCCATCTCCGTTAACTTTTGCTTATGTGGCAGTCAACTCTTACAATTGACCGTTAAATGTGCCACGTGGCAATTTAAAAATTAATTAAAAATAATTTTTAAAATTTTAAATTTCCAACTCATTATTCCAACTAATAAAAATTATAAAATACCTAATTTCTTTTCTTCTAATTTCCATGTTCGGATGAACCTCAACAGTCCCTTCTCCTACTTCCTTCCGCCACCGCCGCCAGCAGCACCACCGTTATCTCCGCCGCAGCCACCTCCACCACCACTGCCGGCAGCTCTCCCTCTTAGATCGGATCCCTTCACATCAACCCATGAGAAATTGAAAGCCCCAACTTCACAAATCTCTCTTTCCCTCTCTCAAATGCATTAAATTAATCAAAAGTGAAAAGTTCCCTCCTTGCACCTCTTCGCCATTAATTAAACATTTCATTGTCATCCCCGCCATAAATTTTCAACTGGGTTCCAAAAAGAAGGAGGAAAGGTTCCAGCTTTGAGCTGAATTTCGGTTTTTGGTTTTTTCCCCCCTCTGGGTTTGTTGGAGAAAGAGAAATGGGGAATGTGACGTCAAACGTGGCGGCGAAATTCGCCTTCTTCCCGCCGGACCCGCCGACGTCAAGACTGGATTTGATGAAAGTTTCTGGCTTTTCGATGAATTCTTGTCGAAATTAGAGTTGTTTCTGGCTTTGCGATGCTTGATTGTATTCCTTGTTGTTCAAAGATTGGAGCTTTATGACCTTTGTTCTCTGTTGTTTCTCTATGCAGCTATGACTATTCATGCTATGGAGCATCTTCTGGAAACGCGCCGGTTGCCAGCGTCGTGAAGCTGAAGGTGGTTGACACATCAATTTGGTCGGTGGCGAGCTCTGTCAGTGCCAGCTTCACGTTGCGAACTGCGGCAACCACGAACTGCGCGTCGGCGTCGTCGCCAACATAGACGACGGAAACTCGCGTGCGGGGATAGAACGACACTACGTTGTGCCAGAGCCACTCTGCTGCGGAAGACGGAGATTTCGCCATTTCTTGAACCAGATGGTTCGGAACAGAGAGCAGCACGCTGGCCTCGGTGAAAGACAAGGCCCGCGTCAGGCTCGGTGTTGGATCCAGAATCCGCACCGAGCGGAATCTGAGAGCCACCACCGCTGAGGCGATGGTCTTCGGGAGGCGGGAGGTGCTGCGAGGACAGAGATGAACTGCGACTGGAATTCGCTGGGCGGCTGCGGTGGTAGTGCGGCGGCGGAGTAGGTAACTCCAACAGCATCAGGGTTTGGTCGGTAGGGCATGGAGATTAGAAGAAATTAGTTTTAATATTTTTATTTTTTTAATAATTGTGATAATGAGGTGGAAATTTAAAAAATTAAATTTTTTATTTTTTAATTGCCACGTCACACACTTAACGGTCAACTCTAATAGTTGACTGCCACATCAGACAAAATTAACAGAATTGGACGGAGAGTGACCAAATTTGAAATGTTTAAGTAATTTTAGTGACCATGAACGGAATTAAATATTTTTAGTGACCAAATTTGAACCTTTTTAGTAAATCCGGTGACCAACTATGCAATTAACCCGAAAATTCTATATACAAGAAATTACAGCGGGAAAATTCTATTAAAAAGAGTACACTGTAGAAATTAATATAAAAAAGACAGAAATCTCTATTTTTAGGACCGAAGGCTGAACCAGAAAAGTTAGTAATTTAGAGTTCAGTGGTTAACCGTTACAAAATCGTTGGTGAACCGTTGATAGAACCGTTCATGATATATAACATATAAATTTTTTATATTACACTAATTTAAGAATGAAGTTATCATTAACCATAAATAATTTCAAATTCATATCAGCACCAAAACATCTAATAAATCATTCAAACTGTCTCACAAAAGAAATCAATTTTTTTTAATTCAAATTAATATTTACGGTGTCAGTCGAATAGTCAATAACAAGGTTGGAAAATGAGAAGAGGAAGCATATATAAATGAATAAATATTGTTTGATGTCTTAGTTTGAGTTAAAGTTTTTTTTTTTTTTAAATTAGTGAACTAGTGGACCAATTAAACCTTGAGGTTCATGTGATTTTATATTAAACCATGAAAAACCATTTGTTCAATCAATAACTGTCCAAACAATGACCCGTACCGCTATCGTGACTTATTTGACGATTCTATTGACCCCGCGGTTGATCGGTTCAGTTCTTATAAGAAACTCTATTTTTCCTCTCCATTGTCATTCCAGTTTCCAACATCCCAAAAGGCCCCATGTGAAGGAGGGAGACAACACTACCCACTCCGGCACTCACCCTTCCACCACCGAACACAGTGGCCATAACATAACACATGACTTCTCAAAACACTTCTTGATTATTTTTGGAAGATCGGATCACTTCTAGGTAGATGCTTAGATTCATGAATTGGTGTATTCTATTAATGGATTCATTAATTGAATGGATTGGTGGAAATTGAATTGTAGATCTATGTGATGTTTAATATTGAACCATAAATTTTAAAAAATTTAGGTACTAAAATATCGTAACATAAAAATATAGGTAAAAAATATAATTTTCCAATTATATTATACATTAAAAATAAATTTTATTTAATAGTAATGTACCAAATATCAATCAACCCACCAATTTATTTGGATTTGGATTTAAATGAATTTTGATTAATTGGATATTTTAGTGGATAGATTGAATACAAAATTGTCACCTGTATTTTAGGTGTTTATCCATTATCATTAACTAACTAGAATTGTGGTTATGTGACATTACTTAAAAAAGAGTTGCATTGAAGGATCTCATACCCAAATGTGATTATATAAGTAACACACGAAGAAACCAAAAAAAAGATTCAATTTTATATATAAATATATATAGAACTTCGTGTGATATACAAGTTAATATATGTGATGGTTACGACATTGAAGTTATTACTATAGTATAGACTTGTAAATGCTATCTGTTTTGATAATTCTCTCCCGAGTCACAACACTAGATATCCTATAATCCAATGCCATTTTAAACTTAAAAAAATGTTCAAATAAACATATATAACTTTAAAACATTCTACGTCACAAGATAATACTTTCTATCTACGGTTTTCTCCTCCATTTTCGTAAACGAAATAAATATGTATATTTGACCAAAATCTCATTCCCATTCAATCAACGTTGTAGTAATATCACTTTCATCTTTCCGCTTATATTTACCAAACATTAAGAACTAAGATGAATTCGCATCATTCCGACAAAACCTAAAACAATGAACCAAAAGAAAAACTTTGAATTTGGGAAGGAATACCTCCTTTTTCCCAATTTAATTTCTTATGGACAATTCCTACAAAATAATTTCTTGGAACAATTTTTCTTAAAGCAACAAAAGAAATTCCAAAAATGGAAATGGCTATGGAGTCTTTCCCTCCCACCTAAACTGAAGTTCTTTATTTGGAAATGCACCAGAGGGGCTATTGCAACTAAGGAAAACCTCTTCTCTCGGCAGTGCTCGGTCACTAAAGCATGCCCTCTCTGTGCTGAAACTAGTGAATCGATCCATCATGTATTGTTTAAGTGCCCTCACGCGGCTGCTGGGTGGTTCCAGGGCTGGCCTTCGCTGGTTGTCCCCCCTCTCTCCACTCACCTGCTTGACTGGCTCTTCGCACTGCAAGACAGGTATCCCCTCCCCTCAGTCCATAAGGTTGTCTTTCTGCTGTGGCAGACGTGGAAAGCCAGGAATGAGTTTATTTTCCGGAATAAACCTCCATGGCCACCTAGTACCATCGCTAAGGCTGTGAATGAGTCACAACAGTGGGAATGTTGCCCCGCTAAGCCAACAACCTTACCACCTCCAGTTCAGTTAAACCCATCCCCGGAGCACCCTACTCCACCGCCGAGTATTCATCTTTTTGAAATACAGTGTGACGGTTCTTTCTTTGAAACCTCACAGCAGGCGGCATATGGCGTTGTTGTATCAAATGTCCATGGACAAGTGTGTGACGGGGTAGCTGAACCCCTGCATTGTTTGTCATCAATTGAAGCTGAAGCAAAAGCGCTGTTTGAAGGAGCTCTTCTGGCATCCAGCCTCCAAGGTCCATGTCTGGTCCGATCTGATTGCCTGACCATCGTTAAGGCTGTTCAAGGAATGTTAAAGCCGTGGCCATGGCGGGCGGCTGCATGGATTGGACGCACCATTAAGACAATCGAGGACCACCCCTGGATCAAGGTCTCCCACATCAAGAGGGCTGATAACACGAGAGCAAACTGGGTTGCTAAATCTAGAGCTAAAAATGTTCTCCCACCTCATTGGGTTCACGTTCTAGATGTCATTTCCCACCTTTTGTAAACAGCTGGTTTTTTTTCTCATCAGCCGCATTGAATGAAAAACAATACCTTTGGTCAAAAAAAAAAAAAAAAAAAGCTCTCATGCTAATATGCGGCGAGGGAGGGTCCCATCACCGACACTCTTTTCCCTCTATTTTCTTATTTCCCTTCTCCCTCCATATTACCTTTTTCCCACGTAGTAATAATAATAATAAATAAATAAATAAAAGCGACGAGAAATTTCCCTCTCTTTTCCGCAGTACAGGCACACATCCCCTCCGGTAGTCTGTAGCGCACTTAAATACAGCGCCATCCCCGGCCTCCATCTTCTCCACTTCTCCTCTCATTTTCTCGCCCCAAAATCCCAATATCCAAACAGAAAAATCGCACCGAGAGCGCCGAAGAAATCCAGCCTCTCGCACTGTGGATTGCTTGGTTCCCTCACCAAGCGAAAATGGCGCGGAAATCAGCTCGATCTCCGCTTCTCCTCATAGCTGCTGCGGTTTCCCTCCTCGCCATCGTCGGTGCCGAGTCTCCCTACCGCTTCTTCGATTGGAACGTCACCTATGGCGACATTTACCCGCTCGGCGTCCGCCAACGAGTGCGTAGAATCTCCTGACTGAAAATTTCTTACTCCGATCTCGAACTTGCTCTAACGTGTGCTTCTATTAAAAAAAACAGGGGATTCTGATCGACGGCGCGTTCCCGGGGCCGGATATCCACTGCGTTACCAATGACAATCTCATCATCAATGTGCACAACAGCTTGGACGAGCCTTTCCTCCTCTCTTGGTAAAACCTAAATCTCTGCTTTCTTTCTTCGCACACTCGCTCTGTTTCTTCCTTGGCGGAATTTTCTCTGCTTGCTTTCTCGTGAACTTTCCCTATCGGGAAAGCAGGGAGGAAAAAAGAGATCCCTGACCGTTTTTCTCTCATCGGGGAGTCCCCAAATCTGATACTTGAATTATTGGAGAGGTGACAATGTCGAGGAAAAGTGCTCAGATCTGGAATTGTTTTAGGCTTTTAATAGTTATAAAACCTTCCCCCACTCGCCGCTGGTTTTTCTTCCCAATCTTGCCGCCATGGCAGCCGCAGCTCGCCAGCTCCAGTGTCAAATTGAACTCTCAGTTCACAACTTGCCTCCATCCATTGATGTCACTTTCTCAGAAATTAATTAAAAAAGTAGGGGGAAAAGTGATTGGGAATGTTTGCTTGTCGTTTTCTTAATTACTCAATTAAATCACAGTAAATTTGAGTGATCGATGTTGAACCCAATCTCCCCCTATCCAGATCTTGTCTAACAATCTAGATTAGTAATTAGCTGTATTTACAAGTAAATTTTCAGCCCCTCTTCAAGCTAAGCTGCTGAAGTGATACTTAATTATTTTTTTAAACACAGTTTAGTTGTTGCTAATACAGTAAGCATAACGACTTTCCCTTTCCGGAGCCGCAGTCAATTTCTTAATCCGTCGGCAATCTTTCTTTTTCGGATTTCTAAACAGCGCCGTAATTAGTTGGGAGTTTCTTCGTCCAGATCTATTTCTAGCTGTCTTCCATTTTCAGCACACTTGCGCCTGCCAGCTCATCTTTGCAGCTGGAAAGAAAACCCGAAGATGCGCGTTGAAAACAAAACTCCCAATATTCATTATTTTTTATGTTTTTTTTCCCCTGTTCATTCCACCGCCATTAATCAAGGCGGGGAATTAATTGATAGCTAGAACGCCCATTTCCAATTTATTAGTGAAGTTTCTGTATTGGGTTGGGGGACAGCAGATTTAACTGATTTAGGTGCTTGGTTTAATTTAGGAATGGGATGCAACAGAGGAGAAATTCATTCGTGGACGGTGTTTACGGCACCACGTGTCCGATCCCTCCGGGGAAGAACTACACGTACATTCTCCAAGCAAAGGATCAGATTGGCAGCTTCTACTACTTCCCTTCCCTCAACTTCCACAAGGCCGCCGGTGGGTTCGGAGGGATCAGGATCCTCAGCCGACCCGGTATTCCGGTGCCGTTCGCTGACCCTGCCGGCGACTACACCATTCTCATCGGAGATTGGTACAAGTCCAATCACACGGTAAATTCTTTATTAATGATGTTTGTCATCATTACTCATTTTTGTTTTCCTTCTGTGGGTAGCAATGCTAGCTTACTCTTTTTGACAGCTGTGTTGGCTTGTTGTGCCTTCGAAAGTGTTTCGCTTTCGCATGGTGGGAAGGACAGTAGTTGTGTCATTTTCTCAGGCCGTGTATTTTGGCCGGATTTCATGTCTTCTTTGCTTCTCCCCTTGACCTTTGGCCATCGTCTCCAAACGGCGATCCTACACTCTGTCTTGTCTGATGTCTCGTAGTGCTTTGATTGTCTATTTGATTTGTTTTCCTTTGTCGACATGTTTTTTCGTTGGTTGTTGACCTTAAGGTTCGAATCCAAGTGTGATATCTGTTTTCATCCCACATTATTACTATGTCAATCCCTTGGAATAACATTGAAATAGAAGAAAACTCAGGTTAATTTTATGATAAAATTGATATCGAATATTTTTATTTTGCAGGACTTGAGAGCCCAATTGGATGGTGGCCACAAGTTGCCTCTAGCTGATGGGATCCTCATCAATGGTCGTTCATCTGGCTACGCTCTCACGGTTGAGCAAGGTAAGAAATGGAAATGGGGAGGGGGGGAAAAATCTCTCATTTTTCTTTGCCCTTTTTAATGTTGTCAGAATTTCATTAAAAAGTGTTAGAAGTGAAGCTAAGTGAGACCATTGCTTGTTTCTCTTTTATCAGGCAAGACATACAGGCTCAGGATTTCCAACGTTGGGCTACAGAATTCGGTCAACTTCCGCATCCAAAACCACAAGATGAAGCTGGTCGAAGTGGAAGGAACGCACACTCTCCAGACAACTTACTCTTCTCTCGACGTCCACCTCGGTCAATCTTACTCCGTTCTGTTCACCGCCGACCAGCCAGGGCAAGACTATTACATCGTGGTGTCTTCTCGCTGGACAGCTCCGATCCTCACCACTACCGGTGTTCTTCATTACAGCAACTCCGCTGGTCCGGTTTCTGGTCCACCTCCCGGCGGCCCAACCAATCAGATCGACTGGTCCCTCAACCAAGCCCGCTCCATCAGGTAATGCAGTGGTCCAAGTAAATTTGGTGCATTTTTTTGCCATTGGTCATGAATACCAAATCCTTCTCACATAATAAACCATCTTGAAATTGAGGCTTCAATGGTAACAATTGGATTGGATCCATGAATTGGTAGATTGGATTAGTGTATCCATGGATCAAGTGAATTGGATCAAATGGATTGATAGATTCATGGATTGGATCAAGCGGATTAATCCATGAATTCAAATGACATTCAAGCCTCGCACCAATATGTAAATTTTGAAAAGTTTGGGTACTAAAATGATATGATAAAAAATGTTAGGTACTAAAATATAATTTTCCAATGATATTTTCATAAAAAAATTAAATATTGGATACCAAAATGCAAAATATGAAAGTATAGGTATCGAATTGTAATTTTGTCATTTGCATACGTTGATCAATCCATAAATCCTCCAATACAATTGGATTTGGATCAAATGGGTTGGATTAATTAGATATTTTAGTGTATGGATCGGTGAATTGGATTGAAAATTGTTACTTCGCTATAATAAAAGTTTGCAATCTCTTGCAATAACCGGCGTGGACAAACTTATTGAAGAATTTTGTTTGTGTCATTGGTTTTTGCAGGTCTAATCTGACGGCAAGTGGACCGAGGCCGAACCCACAGGGCTCGTACCACTACGGTATGATCAACTTGACGAGGACCATCGTTCTGGCCAACTCAGCTGGCCAAGTGAACGGCAAGCAGAGATATGCTGTCAACAGTGTCTCGTTTGTTCCAGCCGACACTCCTCTGAAGCTTGCAGACTACTTCAAAATCCAGGGCGTGTTCAAGGAGAACAGCATCTCCTCTAATCCCACCGGTGGCGGCGTCTACCTCGACACCTCTGTTCTGACCACTGCCTACAGAACATTCATCGAGATCGTGTTCCAGAACGACGAGGACATCGTGCAGAGTTGGCATCTCGATGGTTACAGCTTCTGGGTCGTTGGGTAAGCCGACATTTGATCATCTTCTCTCATAGCCTAGTAGTCTAATTGTTTTGAGTTCTAACCAAGTGGGCGAACTTAATGCTGTGCAGTTTGGATGGCGGGAAGTGGACGACTGCAAGCAGGAACCAGTACAATCTGAGGGATGCAGTTTCGAGATCCACCACCCATGTAACTTTCTCAACTTAACGTTTCAAGCGATTTAGTTACACAGTTTCCATGATTGAAGTCGAAATGTTTTTTCGATAGAGTCGGATTAGATCCCCTGAAAGACTGACCATATCGTCAAATGTGTTTTTTATTCGATTCGAGCTGCCATGGTGGACATTTTTTTTTAATGTTTTGACGGATTGTTTGACGGAGGATTGGATTTTGCAGGTGTATCCCAATTCATGGACTGCAATCTACATTGCTCTGGACAATGTGGGAATGTGGAACTTGAGGACAGAGTACTGGGCGAGACAGTACCTGGGCCAGCAGTTCTATTTGAGGGTTTTCACGACGTCGACTTCGCTCAGAGACGAGTACCCAATCCCGAAGAATGCACTTCTTTGCGGCAGAGCTGCCGGCCGGCGCACACGGCCGATGTAAAAGGGGGAAACACGGCCGAGAAGTTATATGGTAATTTATTGTTGCGGTGAACGTTGAGATTTGAGGTGGGTTCGGGATTGGTTAAAGAAAAGGAGGAGGAGGAGGAGGAGGAGGAGGAGGAGGAGGAGATTGATTTGAGTAATGCGTAGGGAATGTTTGATTTAGGGGTAAATTATGGAATTGCGGAACGCGACTGTTTGTACCATTTGAGAAATTGATATAACGAGACCTCAGCTCGAGGTCACATTGGTGATTTTTTTTTTAACCTTCTGTTATGGCCTGTGGAAGGATACATGATTCTTTTTAGGCTTGTAAAACTTTGTGTTGATACTTGATAGTCTTATCTGAAGCGGTTACTTCGCTGGTTGTTTTTTTTTTTTTTTTGGTCACTTCGCTGGTTGTTTTGGTTTTATATATTTATTTATTTTTATTTATAGTTTCTGAGTAAATTACATAGTTGAATGTTCCTATTTGGTTACTAAAAATATTTAATTCCATTCGTGACCACTAAAATTAGTTAAACATTTCAAGTTTGGTCATTTTCTGTTCAATTTCGTCAACTTTTGCTTACATGACAGTCAACTATTATAGGTGACCGTTAAATGTGTGGCATGACAATTTAAAAATAATTAAATAAATAAAATTTAATTTTTACATTTTTCAACTCATTTCTAACTATTAAAAAATTAATTTTTTATCACCCAAAAAAACCAAGCGGTCCTCCGTGTATTTCCCCACAGTCGCCACTCAATCTCTCTTCTCGTCGCCGCGTCCACTAGCCGGTGAAGAGCGAGCTCCCTCCAATTCACCTAGGGATGGCAATGGGTAGGGTCGGGTGTGGGTTTACCCTATACCAACTCCTAACCCGCCGGGTAGAGCCTTCTAAAATACCCGACCAAATAATCACCGGGTATGAAAATGATATAACCATACCCTAGCCACCGGGTAACCACGGGTATTCGAGTAACCATGAGTACGAATCCTAAAATATGAACTTATATCTAATTTAATCAATCCACGCAAAAATTACCTTTTGCAGCCGAGGTGGGGGAAGGTACAACGTCGCGGGGAAAACTGCTTGGCGGCAATAGCGGGTCGCGAACGAGGGGAACATGGGAGAGCAGGTCGTGCGAGGAGATGCTGGCTGGAACCAGGGGAGATCCTGGCGAGTGGCGAGTCACACGCGACCGAGAGGGAAGCAGGGGAACGACGCGCGAACGAGAGGGAAGCGAGGGAGAGGCGGTTAGCGTCATTGGGACTGGCGGCCGGTGGGGCTCTTCGCAAACGACGCACAAACGGAGGGAAGCAGGGGGAGGCGGTTGGAGTGTGGAGTGCGGGTGTTGGCTGCTGGCAGGCGGCGGCTATATTAGGGATTCAAGGGAACGACGCATGAATGAGAGGGAAACAGATTAGGGATTTAGGTTTTATGGTTAAGAGTTGGGGAAATGAGAGAAAGTGAAGACGATTGTCTTCTGAGTAGTGGGTGCTGGGTTGCTGGGTAGGGTTAGGGCAAGGGAAATTGACCCTTTGGTTAGCGGGGCGGGTATTATCGATTACCATACCCGTACCCTACCCTTTATTTTGAAATCGGGTATTACCCGTACCCGCCCCTTAACCGGTCAACGAGGATACACCCGCCCCTTAACCCGTCAAAGCGGGTAATTACCCTCGTTGACCGGTTACGCTCGGGTAGGGTACCCATGATTATGGGTTGGATTGACATCTCTAAATTCACCTCTCTCTCTCTCTCTTCTTAGCTCGCAGTCGTCGTTCACTATTTCGCCGGCATAACCGCCGCAAGAGAAGGTGTGGAGCAGAGGCCAATACCGATGACGAAGTCGGTGAGCGTGTCTGAAGTAGTGACGAGTGACGACGATGGAGCGGTGAGAGCGGCTGAAATGATGGCGGTGGCAGACGACCTTCCTTTTCTCCATTTCTCGAAGTGTGCTTCCTTGACATCCTGTACTATCTCGCTGATGTTCGCGCAGGTGACCGTCCCTGGGCTAGGCTCGTCCTCCCTATAAGCTTGCTCTAGCTCTAAAACTCCTTCATCTGCTGTCGCAAATCGTGAGAGATATGCTTCACGGCGACTTTGATCTTTGAACTGGGGAGGATTCCTCTGTATACTTTCCCGAACCTGCCCGGCCGGAGAACCTCCTTCTCCTTGAAACCATGGATCGCTCTGTATAGATCCTTGTAATAGAGACGTTGTCAGTTATATTCAGTCTCCCAATCTTCTGTAAGCTCTATGTACCTCCTCAATCGGTCTAGGTAAGCTCCAATAGCGATTGCAACAAGAGAGAGAGAGAGAGAGAGAATTACGAGGAAGACCTTCGGCGCGGTGTCTAATCTTTTTGCCGCCTTGCTCGGACTACTCCACCCAACACCGCAACCGCCGCGCGAAAGGAGTCGATGAAGGAAGACCCACCGCCAGTGTCAAAGGCAGGAAGCTCGACTCCAAGCCGTCGGGTCGAAGACGCGCCGCTGGAGGAGAGCGTCGCGTCGAACCTCCCTCTCAACCTTCTTGAGATCGCGTCTCCGGCGAACGGGGTGAAGCGAGCATCGCCAAAGAAAGATCCACCGAAGAGAAAGTCGTCGGAGAAGCCGGCGATGAAGATGGGCATCGCTGCGGCAGGGAAGAGGGTGAAGGGTGACTCATCGCGGGAGGATTGAACGGCAAAGAAGCCGCCAGACGACAAGCTGTTGTCGGAGGTTGAGATGGAGAGAAAGGCGGCGGCGAAGTCGGGTCATCCACCTGCCCGTCGAAGTGATCGAGCGCTGCCGGAGGCAGAAGTGACGGAGAAGAAGATGAAGGAGGTCGGCGGCTGCGTCTCTTTTCCCGTGAGCGCTAGGTCGGCCACCTTGGGCCAAACATCACATCCGCAACGGCTTTTACATTTGGGTCGATATGTGGTTCTGTTCTTTGGGTCTCCTTTGGGCCTAGACTGGCGGGTCGTCTTATCAGATGGGATGGAGTGAGTGGGCCGGGAGCTAGCATTCGCTGGGCTCGCTCAAGAATGGCCGAATCAGCAAGGTGGGCCGAGTTTTTGGAGGCAGATTAAGCCCAACATGGTTTGGGTATGGAAGAAGGTGGGCTTGGAGTCTACACGTTTAGCTGATGAACTTTTAAAAGAGTTAGCCCAAGTTCACATAGAGGAGAGTTCTCTAACTCTTATTTTGTGGACTTCGAAAGAAAGGACGAAGAATTGTTTGGCTATGAAGAACGTGACATATGTCACGTGGGTGGAGGAGAGTCGAGGAAAGTTGGACTGGTGCAGGAAGAGTTCATTCAAGGGATCGAGCGTAGTTGGAAACGTAGAAAGTGGAAGGCCAAGAAGACGGAAGTTAACTGCAACCTTGAGGACAAGGTCGCTTTCAAGGAGGGTGGAATGTTAACAATATATATTATTAGAATAATAATAATGATAGTACTAATAATAATAATAAATAGTGTTATGCGTATTAGTAGGTTAGGCGGCTATGATTAGTAGGGTTAGGCGGCTAGGGTGGCCGAGTATATTATTAGGGTTTTCTCGCATTATCCCTATGAATATGTACTTTGGGTTTACGTCATAATCAGTCAATAAAAGTATTAAGCAAAGTATCCTTCTAAACCTAATTCCTCTCAACTCCTAATTTCTATCCTCTCCTAATCCAAGGCCTCGGCCGATTCTCAATTCTATTATGTTCTTTCTCATCTAAATCCCTAATCGCAACCCTAATCCCTATTCGTTACGAGTAGTTACGGGTGTCAAAGGTCAGTCCCTAGAATCCCTAGAATCCCTAGAAGCGGGGTTCTTTCAGAGAGACGGGGAGAAGGCGGAGATCCAGGCATCCAGTGGCGGGGGTTCTTATTCCCCTATTTCGCCGAAGCCCCACTACTATGGACTGCGCTATAGGACGAGAGGGAGTCAATAAATTATTTATATTTTTTGTATAAGGAATAAATTATTTATAATTTTATTCCTCTGAATGAGGTGGAAAATGTAAAAATTAAATTTTATTATTTTAAAATTGTCATGTTACACATTTAACGGTCAACTATAATAGTTGACTGCCACGTAAGCAAAAGTGAAAGGAGTTGGACGGAGAGTGACCAAACTTGAAATGTTTAACTAATTTTAGTGACCACAAATAGAATTAAATATTTGTAGTGACCAAACATGAACGTTTTTTGTAATTACAATGACCAACTATGCAATTTACCCCTATAGTTTCTACTTCTTTTCAGTGTGAGTTTGTGATAGAGTTCATCCATAAAAAGGTTATGTTATTACATTTGTTGTAAATACGTTTATATGTGTGAACTAATTATGTGCCAATGAACATGGAATGTTGGTGAATTCTTCTAGTAGTGCTTGCCCTACACCCGGGAAAGAAGAGACATTCTCAATTTTTGCCTTCGGGCTCATATATTCCTTTCCTTTTCTTTACACGAACTTGAAAGCAGACTCAATCGGGCGCGCGATGATAAAAATGTATGAGGGTGATGGTCAATGTAGTCAAATGTGTGTTTCCACGCAGAAGCGAAAAAATGAGTAGAAACACAAAACATAAAAGCGTAGCGTAAAAACGTACGTTTTTTTGTATAATCTGATTGATTTTCAACACACTATCTGTCACATTTAAAAAGGTCACTACTCATGCAAATAATATGATATAACAAACTTTTAATAGTGTAGCAAACGTACAACTAAACCAGCAAAGCAATAAGAAAATAATGAGACTTCTTCATTCATACAGAAGTATAACCAATTAACAACTACACCTCATTATTCGCTGTTTTGTTCCGATGTGGATATCAAATTAAATAGGATTTTTTAGACTTCTTTTATTATGAAGTACTTCATCCATTGAACGCGAGAAATTGGATTATTAGCAAATATTAATCACTAGCTGCACATCATACAACAAAGTAACTGCTTAATGAATATGTTGTGTAACATCCTCCTCCCTCTTGAACATGTCATATGTCATGCTCACATCAATAACATGCCATCCCAATATTTAGGTGAGTTATAAATAATGAACCAACAACAAACCTTGAAAGAACCTAAAAATTCACGGGGAATTAGAGTTGGGGAATTGAGAAGGAAAGTATGAGAGGAATAGAGGAGCTGCAAAAACACTATCCGTTGGATCATCCTCAAATTTGGAGGATGCGTATTCCACCACCTTGAGCAATGAATTCTTCCACTATCTTAAAGATTGTATTACATATCTTACACCCTAAACACATTACAACCAAAGCAAAAGACCTCTAAACAAGCTCATGTTGACACACTTTGTGGAGACTCGATTGAACTGCAAATCTTTAGGAGCTAGCTTCATGGTAGAAAGATGATAAGGTTATGTGTTAATAGCAAGCACATATGTTACATAAATAATTTTCAAGGGCTCATGCCCCCACAAGTCGAGTGCTTGAGTGAAATTCTTTCCATTATCTAAAACATCAGTGAGGCCCTAGTAACCTCGACTTGTATGACTTGTTTAGGTTTACATAAAATTATAAGTTCGAGGAAGAGTCTCTCATGCCATAAGCATGCTACAGTCGAATGT